AATTATTTTGTCTCGACCAAATTTTTTCTGCAATCATACTTTATAGCATTTTCTTGTTTTATTAATAATAGTTTTCTAGTTTGACAAGATAGTAGGAATTAGCTTGTGACAACTAGTTCTGGTTGTGGTGAAGCTTAAAAACATTCGACCAGTCCCTGAGGAAACAATAACTTACTTACCCTATATTACTTGATTCGATTGTGTATACTTGCACATAATTGCTTGCCTCAGCATATACATTTACAAGCGATTAAGTTTTAGGCGCCGTTGTCGAGGATTGGCAACTGACGCAAATTTTATTTTTTGCTATAACAAGCTTTTCTTGTCACCTTATATCTACTTAGTCTAACGTATTTTATTATTCTCTTTTATAGGTTTTTATTATTGAATGACCCTGAGATCTACTGGTAAACCATTGGAACCATTCGACCCGAAAATTGAACAATCGTTCAGGTAGTGGCGACGTGACCAACGAACCAGAGAATATCTAAACCAACTACAATTACAAGGCAACAACATGGGAGATCATGAAGATCCCGATATAGCAATTAATCTTCAAGTTGAAAGACCATGAGCAATACGAGATAATTTGAATCCAACTCTTGATGACCTCAATCCAGGCATCGTGGCTCCTGAAATACAAGCAACCCATTTTGAACTTAAACCGGTGATGTTTAATATGCTAAATTCCATCGACCAAGTTGGTGGTTCACCTAATGAGGATGCTAGACAACATATTTGTTCTTTCCTTGAAGTATGCGATTCATTCCGACAATAAGGAGTGCATGAAAATGTGCTTAAACGAAAACTTTTCCCTTATTCCCTACGCTATGGAGCGAGATCTTGGCTAAGTGGAGTTCCTTCAGGCTCAATGGAATCATGGGAAGATTTATGCAAGAGTTTCCTACTACGATACAATCCTCCCAATATGAATACACAACTTCGCAATGATATTGCAAGCTTTTTCCAAGGAGACGATGAATCAATGTACGAATGTTGGGATAGGTATAAAAGCCTACTTCACAAATGTGTCAACCATGGATTTCATGTCTGGACTCAAGTAGTAATGTTTTACAACGGAGTTAATGCACCAACTCGAATGATGTTAGATGCCTCAGTAAATGGAACCTTACTTGACAAATCACCTGAGGAAGCCTTTGATATCCTCGACATGATAGCAAATAATGACTATCAATTCCCAAATACAAGATTGGGAACCGACAGAAAAATATCTGGAGCATATGAATTAGAGGGTAAGGATTTGGTAGCTGCTCAACTTTCTGCCATAGCTAATATGTTGAAAAATTTACAACGTCCTAATGAGGTAAGAGAAGTCAAGGCCGCCAATAACGCATGTATAATTTGTCACGACAACCATCATGAGAGTGAATGTCTGGAAAACCATGAGTCCACCAATTTTGTGGGCTATTACATCCGAAACAATAATAACCCCTATTCAAACACGTACAATCCTGGTTGGAGAAAACATTCAAATTTTCATGGAGTAATCAAAGGAACAATAACAATCAAGCAGCAAGTTACAATAGGCCATATCTAAGTATCTCTGACCATCAACATTTTCAAAATCAACATCATCAGCCGCCCTGGCAAAACACTAAAGGTATAGCTTATTCCTCTAATAATAATTCCAATACTAACTCCTTGGAGTTGTCATCGCAGGAATTTATGGCCTCGACAAAAGATTTCATTGATTCAATAAAGACCTTGATGCATGAGCATTCTACATTAATAAAAAATCAAGGAAATTTGTTATAAAGCCAATATACACTTTTGCAAAGCCATAGTTCATCTCTAAGAGCATTGGAGAATCAAGTGGGCCAAATTTTTACGACATTACATTCTCGTCCGCAAGGAAATCTCCCTAGTGATATTGAAATCACTAAGCATCATAGAAAGGAGCAATGCAGTGTGCTTACACTAAGGAGTGGAACACAGGTTAACCAAAATGACAAGTTTAGGGGAGAACAACTAAACAATTCTCACCATGGAAGAACACAACTAGAGGATCAAGCTGAAAATAAGAAACAGGATGAATCACCCAAACAGAAGGAAAAGGATGAAGGCTCAGAAAAACATCATCCAGATAATGAGAAATTTGTGGCCAAGGCCAGAGATTCCTCAGCACCATAGCAGATAATGTGAGACCTCCACCACTGTTCCCTCAACGATTAAAGAAATATAATGATGACATACAGTTCAAGAAATTTATTGATGTTCTGGACCAGTTGTATATCAATGTGCCCTTACTCAAAGCCTTCGAGCAAATGCCTTCATATGCCAAGTTTCTTAAAGACATCATTACAAAGAAGAGGAAGGTAGAACATGTTGCCACTGTAATATCCCAAAATTTTAGTTAGTGACCAAAATGTAAATTTTAAAAGTTTGATAACCAAAGTAGAAAATTGGGAAAAGTTTATGGACATAAATGGTAATTTTTCTAAAAAGAATTTTATTTCAGAAATGGATTTGGTTAGGGACCAAAATAAAAAATTTTAAAGTTAAATGACCAAAGTATAAACTTTAGAAAAGTTCAAGGACCAAAGTATAAACTTTTGAAATGTTTAGGGACCAAAATGGTAATTTTAGAAAGTTACAATTGGCCCCTTAAATAAATAAATTATCTCAAGAATAACGTTATATGGGAATCAAAATTTTAATATATATTTTGTATTAAAAGTTATAAATCAATGAAGTTGAGGGAAAATTGGTAAATCGAATCGAATAGAAATTTCGAGAAAAAAGTTGAAGAATAATAAATTAGGCTTAAAAATATTATTTCCACATTTTAAAATGATAGAAAATAATATGGAGCATTTGATTTGAGAATTTAATTCCATGTTAATTTTGGACTTTGGATTAAAGTGATTGGATTGTAATTTTTGGAAATTGCAAGGGCAAAACGGTAAAGTGAGAAAATATTTTGTTCATCTTTGACTTTGGAAGATGATAAGGTTTATTTGGCTTGGTATTAATGTAAATATCAATTTCATCAAGGGTAAAGTAGTAAAGATATTTTAATTTTTAGGGTAAATTAGTAATTTAGCATTTAATGAATTTTTAATTCATTATATGATAAAGAAAGATGAAGAATATCAACGATATTTCTTCATTTAAGCAGCATGGACGTGAGCTTCTCCCAAAGGTAAGAAAACATTTTGTTTTCAATTTTTGAGCAATTTTCTTTGGATTTCGGGTTATGCCGTACAATAGAAAATTGTTTTACGTGAAAAACGCTATCATTTGGTACCAATATTGCTTGCGAATATTACTAGATTTCAAAGATCCCAAATCTAAGGGTTTATGTTTATAATAGGGTTCATGAAATTGATGATGAATCTTGATGTTTTTGAGGTTGTAGATTCATTTTCAAGCTTGATTTGTGGTTAAAACATGTTAAATCTTCCTAGAAATTATTCTTTAAAATTCGGCCTTGGTCTTAAAGGATGAGGAAAATTTTGAAAAAAAATTATGAAAGGGTTGGAAATGATGTAGGAAGTGTTCTACAAGATTTTAAAAAAATTGTGGACCATTCTATAATTTTTGAAAAGATGGGGGGACCAATTTGGTAATTTTGGAAAAGTTGTGAATGATTGTGTAATTGCATAATAGTTGATGTACTATGCTGGAAATTTTTATTTGGAAATTGAAATGAGTGTTAAAATGTGAAATTAGATCAATTTTGGAAGTTTGGAAAGTTTGGTGTTTTAAACGAAATATTCAAATAGTTTGGAGTGCTTATTTGTAATTATACCTTTGTATATGTACTTGGGTGATAATTATTTCAATGCTGGAATTTCGGTACTGAAACTTTGAGTGGAAAAATGGTAAAGGACCATTTTATATACGTTGTAAAAGTTGGTGCCAAAATTAAAAAGGATTAGTAAGTGTTAAAATATTTGGTGATTAATAAGTTTCATGTATGAATATGGATTAAATGGAATTTGAATGGTCAATTGGAAATGTTAAGGTCAACATTTATGTTATGACATGGAAATTGCATTGAATAAGCCTTGAGAAATTTGTTAGGAATTTATTTCAGTAAGATTCTAACATTTGGTTTGAATTTGTGTGTATTTGGTAATGATGTTCATTTAGAGATTGAGTGGTTAAAATCAAGATCAAATATTATTAAAGCTAAGGAGAAGCTTAAGGGTGAAATGGAAAATTCCAAGGAAGATTGTGAGCTAAGGACACGGGATGAGTGAAAATTTAAATTGTACTTATGTTATCGAACAAACATTGGCTTGCGATGAGCCAGTACGGAGTTACTATGGTAAGAAGTGACTCCTAAAATGTTATTTGAGTTGTGATGTATGTATATATGTGCATTTTGTGAATTAATAGAATTAGTGAACAAGTTGAAAAATTCAAATTGGTTAAATATGTTTAGAATTTATGTTATGGATAGTAAGTTTAGAAAATTGTCATAAATTCTAAAAAAATGATTAAATGATGATTTTAAACCGTTTGATTATCATACCAGTCTAGTTTTATTTAGAGCAAACAGAAACTGATTTCATGGTATATACTAAAAGATATGAATTTTTAACCGAGGAAAGGTCAGAAAAACGGAGTAGCAGATTCTGCACAAAACAAATTATGTCGGTCAACTTTGAAAATTTACCATAAATTATACAAAATGAAATTGTCACACCCCAATATGGGGTTAGATTTCTTTCAATTTAAATAAGTGAAGTGATATGAAGTTGGTTAGCAAATAATTATTTTATCATAACATTATATTATTAAACAAATTGAGGATGATGAATTAGGTAGAATATGGACAAATTATTGAGTGATATGGGAATTTTATTATTTTTTAATATTATTATTTTATTTAGATTTCTAGATTTGTGGTATTCTTGGAATCAACACAATCATGGCTCCACCAAAGGTTTCTAGGCCAAGGAAAAATGGATTGAAATCCAAAAGCATTTAATCTGAAACCTTATCGTTACCCTCACCACTCAAAATTTCAGCTTGTACAACAGCTTCATAAGCAACAACTTCATCGGGTTAATGCTCTTGCATAGCTCTTTTCCATTGAAAAAAAAAATCCTGCAACAATTACTGAACTTTAAGGATCCTAGTAGCCCCGCCATGTTCACCTTGTACAACAAACCACTGAACATAGTAGATGGGAGGATGCAGTATTTGTTCGATGACAAGGGGCGAAGATACCTAGACACATTTGGAGGGATTGCTACTGTGTGTTACGGCCATTGTCACCCTGACATAGTAGAAGTAATCGTCAATCAGACCAAACGCTTGCAATACTCCACTATTCCCTACCTCAACCATTGCTTCGTTGATTTCACTGAGGCCCTTGCCAACAAGTTACCAGGCAATCTCAAGGTAGTATTCTTTACAAATTCAAGGAAAAAAGAAAATGAGTTGGCGATGATGATAGCAAGACTATATACCAGATTCCATGACATAATATCATTGAGGAATGCATATCATGGGAATGGTTCGGGGACCATGAGAGTCAATACACAAAGTAATTGGAAGTTCAATGTTATACAGTCCGTAGGCAATGGCTACAGCAGTTGGCTCGTTGATTATACGCATGACATTGAGGCCATCAACGACACCATCATCTTTTGTAGCTTGATGGTGGGACTCATTGAAGTAAGTCAGAACAGTAACGACAACGTTTTTAATGGTTGACCCAAGATAAGCCTCGGCAATCTCTTTCATCTTCGTTAGGACCATAGAGGAGATTTCTTCAGTAGCAAATTAATAAAAAAAATGGGTATATCAAGTGAGGGAAATTATGATAAAATGAGAATGAAGAAATTACTAGTTTAGTCATCCAAGTTTGGTAAAAACTTAACCTTATCTTTTGGCTTTCGTATTATTATGATTATGGCATAATGGTTTAAATAAGATCAATTTAGTCCATGATGTTCGTAATTAAATATTATTGGTTCTTCAAGTGATATATATGATTGGTCTTTCATGCCTGTTTGATTATGGATGGATTCGAAATGAATACGGTTTAAGTGATAAATTACGAAAATACCCTTATGTTGTAAAAAAACAAGAATTGACGCTGGAAATTGATTAATAACTCTAAATAGACATATTGATCTGATAAAACTACAGTTGTGCATAAAAAATGCTAGTTTTGCATGGAAAATTTAGATAACTGGCCTTTAACCCCAAAGAGGGTTTATGCAAGATATTAGAAGTATGTTAAGGAATCATTTCAAGACCAGAGAATGTTCGGGAAAGCAATTAAACAGAGGATCTCTAAATTATAGTTATTTTCGTTAAGAGTTAACACCAAAATTATCTGGTTACAAAATTATGAAAAAGCCCTTGAGAGGTAAAAATAGTCCGAGTTGACTCTGAATTAGAGAGTAACCTAAGAATTTGTTCTTAATTGATAAATTACTGATTTAATTATTGGGATCCTATTTTTGTATGGAAAATTACTGATAATTCGTTTGTAACATCTGAGAAGGCATTTAACCTGGAAATCTACGAGTTGAGTAAGTACATGAAGAAAATCTTATAGATTGTGCTCTTTTGTCAGAATTGTTTGGAATGACTAGAGAAAATGATAAGTTTGAATTAAATAATAAGACCGGACGGAAGGAAATGATTGAAATACCCTAGATCTATAAAATGATCAAAATACCCATGAAATGGAAATGAATCAAGAATATCATCAAGCCCATGATTGAATGGATATCTTCAAGCTCTGAAATGAATAGAAAAATGTTGGGCAAAAAAACCAAAATACCCTTATGGCCTAGACTAAATAAATGTCTTGAATTAATTAAGAAATTCAAATAAACATGGATGTTGTACTGCTCTTTAAAATTATGAAACGCAACTTATGTCAGTCAAACAATGTTAGTGCTATATTAGTACTTGAATGGCGTAGTTACTACTTGAATGCTAATTCGTTTCCTCAAGTTTGGATTGATGATAATTATGGGAGTACTCAGCTCAGCTCAACGCTAGAGCGCATTCGATATTAAGAAGCTGATATTCATGAGATAAATCAATCACGAATACTAAAATGATTTTAGTATATGACCAAAGTAAACTTAACGGAAGTACAACATGTATCCGAAACTCAGAAGTGTATGAATTACTCTGGAAACCTCTGAAGTAACCGGTATAACATTAATTTCTAAATGAACCAAGGAACCTTAATGCCGGAGAATTTAGTAAGTAATTGGATGAGTCTGGAAATACAATAAACTTGTATGATGTACGATATCTATGGTTATGAACTAAGAATCAAATACGTCATCAATTCTTGATATTGTTGGAATGTGGAAAGAAAAGAAAGATTATAATGATGCTTGTTCGATTCTTTAAGGTATATTTAGCGATGATTCTGAAGATGATTTATGGACAAGAATTGTTGGTATTATAGAGTGAATATCAAGAAGGACAATGAATTGACCAATCGTCAGTCATCAGTTCTAAGAGTTGTTCAGCTCAAATGGTTCGATAATCCGATCAATTGTCATGGATGGTAATTGCCCTGAATATTCGTTTCTTTTTTTTCGACTTAATTCACTCCGGTTATTCTGGATGCACATGAAAACATAGTGGGATTCTAAAGTATTAACTTTAAATGTCTGTTTAGATCGATTAGTAATCGATCCTCTACAATAGAACCTCGTTCTTGGAATATGATCAAATTGCATAAGTTTTCTGTTATCCATACTGATGACTACAAAATACCTCTGATAAATATTGGGATTTCTCTAGTATGTTCCTTATATTTTAATAAATTGTTTTTTTGTTTTAACATGAGGTACACTGAAATTTATGATTACTATTTTATGGATGCACCGACTTAATGGTGATAGCTTATGGATTTGTATCACGGTATAAATTGTATCTTGGAGATACAGATTTGTAAAGTACAACTCTGATCAAGATGGAAATTGTTTATGGACAAATGTGACTCTTAGGTAGGCTCTACGGCCCTGAAATCATTCTCGGGTAGGCCCTGCGACCCTAAGATATGTTCTTAGGTAGGCCCCATGGCCCCGAACTTTCTTGGGTAGGCTCTCAGGCCCTAATATGTTCCCTTAGGTTAAATCTTTGTAAGATGGTTTTAAAATATGAGTTTAAAAAGCTCCACTACAGTATGGTTTATGGGATTTTACTGAACTATCATTTGATTAGTGTACCTATTATGATTTTATCGTACTGATGAAACACACTAGATATCCTATTCGACCTCGTGAAAGCGTGACTTTATGAAAGGTTTCTTATAAACTGAGATTTATGGCTTCTACTCGATGAACTACTAATGGAACCCTAGATTATTCCACAACTGGTATACATTTGATTCAATAAGGAAATTATGGCTTCCCATTTATATGCATGTCATGTAGCATCATCTGGTAGTTCTGTATTACTGAGCTTTCCGAAGCTCACTCTATTACTCACCATTACATGTTAAAAGAATTATACGAGTACAGCTATCAACATTTGTAAGGGAGTTCTTCCGGTTTCGCTTACAAAGTATGGTACATGTGATTAGGGAGCATGTTGATTGTATTTTTTTTTATATTTGAGTTTGAAAATCCTATTTTATTTCTGAATAATAATAAATCATTTATGATTTTACATGTTTTAAGAAAAGTTTTAAATTTTCCGTTATTTTTATACTTGGTCACTCCAGTGGCCCTAATGTGACACTCCAGATCAGATCGGGCTATCCGCATCGGTCTGAGGGGGTTACAGAAATAGAATGAGTTCTTTATATGGATAGATTCATATTTTAGTCTAGTTTCCAGTGGTATAAACGGAATAATTTTTAAATATGTATATTAATACAGAATAATATTTATGTAGAGGTAGTGCAAACTGCCACGATTAAAAATTATGGCAAATTTTGGGAGTTATCCAAATTAGAAGCAAAGGATCAAGTTAAAGCTTAGTGAGATTTATATTTTGACTTGCATATAATGTCAAAATGAGTTCAATTCATAACATTATACATGAATGTTTTATGTATCATCGGGTAGGACTTGCAATAAGTTTGCCTTGTTTATGTTGACATGATAATTATGTCATTTATTATATATTTGAAATATTCTAAATATGTCAAATGTTGAATATAAAATGCATTGATCACTGATTATTACATATGATGTTATCATGAACATATATGATATTTATTATGAATGATATTTTGGGCATGAACTGCCCAATGTTAACTGATATTGATATACTTTGCCATGGATGAATCAAATAAAAATAAACTACATGCCCAAGTATGTTATTGAGGATCAGTGGTATTAATGGCATGCCATAGAGTCTAGCAGTTGTATATTAGGCATCACTAGAGTGTCTAGAGAAGGCACATAGTGCAAGCCTCAAAGTTTCTAGCTAAGACACGGTACAAAACACTACGGTGTACAAGGTGGGTATAGCCCGACCTTAGCACTACAGTGAAATATTAGGTGAGCAAAGCTCGACCTCAACATTGCGGTGCAATATTTGACTCCTATATCGGGGTTTCTCATATAGTTATACTTTGGGCTATGGTTTATTGGTTAATGAATGATAAACAGGAAAATAAGCTTACGAGCTTATGGGATAAATGACAAGTATATTGGTAAGAAACTTGATATCCGATTATATCATGTTAATATATGGTAACATGGGTGGAGTACAGGTAAAGTGATCATATGACATTGAACATGGCTATTCATTTAAATTTAGTTGTTGCATTGCTTTAAATATTATGATTGCCTCACTAAGTGTATACTTAGCGTGTGATGATTTTCACGCGTAGGAAAAATAAAGAAGAGGAGTAAGAAGCTGAGTTGGAATAAATCACCAAGGAAATATTTACATGTAGCAATGATGACATCCTACTGTGTTCTAAAATTCTTAGTTGGCATGTATACGCGAATAAAATATTTAAAATTTCTTAATATAGTTAGTATAAAATTAATTTGGGTTTTAAATCAAACTTGGTGGAAAAATGTATTTCTTTTATGAAACAAAATAAAATTGTCTATCACTGCTTGAAACTAGTTATGTTTGAATGAAACAAAAATTTACTCAAGTTAAATAAATAAATGTTTTGAATCTTTGATGTGACATATGTAACTCGTATTGGTTCACATATATGGGTTATGGGTGTTACATTAATTGGTATCACAACTATAGGTTTAGCCGATTCTAGGACTAAACCGAGCTTGTTTGAGTTAAAAAGTGTATACATGCAAATAGGGTGTCATTGTTACCGATTTGGTGATTATTAGATTTGATTGATGCCACTCCTTATTTATAAAGGTGAATAAATATAGTGTATGAAAAAGATGTGTGTATTCAAGGGTTGAAGAACGTGATTGAGTATGAGGTTCAAAAATAAAATAATAGTGATAGTAATGATTTTAATCAGCATTCTTCTGTTTAGTTCAATAAGATAATGTATTGGCACATAGGAAGTGCCAAGGTTGGATTAAAGAAAACTCTTATTTATGCGTAAGAATAGTATCGATTGAAAGAAAGAAACATTATAATAGAATTGATATTAAGTGATATTTGTGCGACCATCGCTTCAGGCCAAAGTGCGAGGTGAGTAATATTTGTAGGCAGTAATTGTCTAGTAAGGATTCAACATGTTGATTTATAATAGACTTGATAGAATTACCTTTCGCATGTAATTTTTAGAATGGATTGATTACCCCTACCATGTTATGATGAATTGTCGCTTAAAGCGATTGATTTTAA